ACCATACCATACCATATCCCATACCATACACCATACCCCATACCATACAATTTTTTTTTTCACTGAAATGTTGTCTATTATTATTAGTTCAGTTTTGTTTTCTTTTCCATCCGTCAGTGTATTCTCTTCCATCCTGCTGTGGCAGATTGTGCTGTTGTGGGCCAGGAGGATCCTGTAAAAGGACATGTTCCATTTGCACTGTGTGTACTGAAACAAGGTAAGAACTCACTTATAACTGATGTCACTAACACACGAAAGACTCAGAAAAGATAAAGGATATTACCTTCTTTACTAGGTGTAAAGACACAAGAGAGTAAGATTTTGAAAGAGATTGTTGAGCGAGTTCGGACCAATATTGGTCCAGTAGCAGCTTTCCAGAAGGGGATGTTTGTGACACAGCTACCAAAAACACGCTCTGGCAAGATCCCGCGTTCTGCTCTTTCTGCACTTGTAAGTGGAAAGCCATACAAGGTAAGTTAGAGATCTTTTCTTCGATGAATTAGGCACGCATGCACATCCAAAGGCACAAAATGGTGGTTTTGATTTTCTTGACTGGTCTGCAACAGATCCATGACTTCAGGTAGTACTTTATATTTTATTTCTGTTGCAGATTATCCAAAAGATTTTCATGTTTCAGAGCTGTACAGATACTTTTTTCTTGAGTGCTTTTGAAGTATAAATTTAGAAAGAATCTGTGAATGAAATTCTTATCTACTATCACATGCTACTGTATTCTTACTTTTCAGATAACACCAACCATTGAAGATGCTAGTGTGTTTGAACACATTGAAGAATTGCTAAAGAAAAACTAAATGGGATAATATATAATAATGAGCATTTCAGTTATTCAAGTATACAAAGAAGCTTTTTTTTTTTTTAAGAGTACCACATTTTAAAAGCAAGTAATGATTTGGGACTGAATGTTTTTACTGCGGAAACATTACTGTGTTCTTTGCCATCTTGCCACAGCCACTGACACATAGTGAAGTCTCTGCCTGCTGTCAGTATATGCTGGTTATTAAGATAGCTAAGAATTGCAAATAGAAAGGAATCATTGTATTATCTATCTTATATGGTGTTTTGTAACCTTACATTTCAATCTGTTATTTTACAATGTGACCAGTAACTTTTCTTTGGCTAAAGCATCTTACAAAAGTAAACCATGAACAGAGGACAGCAAAAAAGGAATTTGATTGTGAAAATTGATGCAGGCATAAATTGTTATTATTTTTAAATTGTAGTTCTTGTCTTTTTGATTTTTTCTAAAATTAAAAATTTTCAGATAATTTCTCTTGGTTCCATTTTATTTTTTTTCCCAAGGTCTTTCTGCCATAAATTAGATTTCTATAATTTTTTTACTCAATAACTTTCTGAATAGTCTTTTTTGTAAAACGATAATTCCTGGCTTTCAAATCTGTAAAAATCTTGATTTGTCCACCATAATATTCAGAAAACCCCATGTATATTAAATAAAGGCAGGCATTTATCCTTTGCATTTTCTGGTAATTTTTTTGTGGTTTGTATCCCTTATGACAAGGACAACCAGAATGTTTGGCTTTATGGCTTTTGCAGACATACGTAAACATTTTAGGCTGAGAGACATATAACCAAGAAATTTAGCAAATATGGATACTAAGCAGCCCATTCTGGACTTTATAGGCCATTCCAGACATGTACAGGGTTCTCAGCAAGCCAGGGGATGGACAATACACTTTTTACGTACATTACTTCTCAAACTGCAGGTATTCAATTGAACAATAAATGTAAAAGTCCATTTAAAAGTAGATGCCCCGAAAAAGTATAAAAGCAGAGAAGTTGCTTAGACTCAGAGTGCTTACCAGAGAAAGAGACAGTAAGTAACAGGCAAATTCAGATGATATTGTTATATAAGAAAGATCCCCAAAAGGGTCCAGAAATACTGTTATGTGGTGGTGGATAGAGGTAAGGATGCTATCCCTGTGAAATGATGAAATAAATCAACAAATTGATGTAGAAGCTAAAAAGTGATATGTTCCACTTAACATGAACCATACCCTGGTGGTGCCTTGTGCTTGTGACACTTCTGTGGAGTTGGTGAGCTCTGTCACTTACATAAGAACTGAATAAAATGGGAATAATTTTGCTCATCAGCGATGTCCTTAAACTTTTGTGAAGTACTTCTTATAAAAGTGGCAGTTAGTTTAAGATATTATTTTCTTCTGGATGAACTACTAAAGTACAAAAGCTTTAACAGTAGGTCCATCCCAGAAGCAGGACTGACTTGCAGAGACTTTTTGCTTTTCAAAATGCTACAACTTAGCAATCTGTGCTACACTGTTACAGAGCAAGAATAGGGAGTTGTCAGTGGTGTGGGTTTTTTTTAAATGAGTGAGACACTATGAGGGTCTTATCACAAAGAAACTGTGGCACATTCACAAGCTGTGTGGCCACTGCTTTTACAATTGAAGGTGAGACATTGTGTATGTTTGCTATCCTTACCTGGATTGCAGCCATCATGTAATTGCAAGAGCAGGGGAGGGGAACTAATTAGTGAGAGCAAAAATTCTCTAGAGGAGATACTGCAATGCTTGTAGGAGAAGAGAATTAATTTCCTAGACCTTGCATAATTTTTCCAATGGTAGCTCATGCTCCTACACCAGTTTCTCCATTTGTAAGGAAAAGTAAAATGCTTTCTAGTTGGGGTCTCTTCTTTTAAGGAGGTAAAAAATCCCATGAAACCCCCAACAGCATTAGTGATAGGTATTTAGGCATGCACTTACCTTTCTGAAGGGCTACATGCTTACATTAATAATAGCAAGAAACAATTATCTTTGTTTTTTCTTTCTCTCTATTTTGGTAGAAGTTATTTCCGATCAAGACTTGTATTTTAAAAGAGGGGGGAACATTTCAGGTATGCTCACTATGCTGCCATGATGGTAATGTGGAGGATTCTAGAAATGTCTAAAGTCTCATGCGTCAACATTCAGAAAAACTAGACAACGAAAGGCGTCTTATTGCAGCAGTACAGTATGGGGAAATCATTGTTGAATGGTCATTGCTTTTGTTTTCCAAAAGAGCCTTTTGCTGAGGAACTGCAATTGCAGAATGCTTTGTCTTAGCCAAGCTCAAGAAAGGAAGGAGTAGTTGTTATCCTTGTACATGGCTCTGCTGGTGCCCAGCAACCTAGGTACACCATCAAGAAGAACAAGCCCATTTAACAGGTGGTAGGACAGCAGTAATTTTCTTAATTTTATTTTTAGAGAAAAGCAGCAAGTGGGTAGATTTGAATGGTCATTGAGTTGCTGAATTTTGGCTGGAAGAGGCACATGTAGTAGTTATTCTCAGTGTACTGAAAGGGTTGGAGCCAAGTAGGCAACATCTAGTATAACTGCTGTTTCTAGCTGTAGATGGTAGAGCTTCAGCTTGTGTGAGGGAGACAGGGATGAATTGGGAGACTTGATATGTTATCCTTAAATCAAATCTGAAGTCACAATAATACTATTTTAAATTCTTCTAGTCTGTTAGCTTCCGCTGTGAAATATATAATTTGTGTGTGGCTGTACTCCTGGGGCAGGCCAACTTCACTGGTCATAAAATCTGGTTCATTCTTTTCCCCAACACACTTCATTCCCCTTTTCCCCCTAAGTTTTAGTGTTGGCTGCAAAAGGAATTCCATAAAACGAGCTGCTGTTTATGAGGAAGTGTGTATTCACATGATATAGCTGCCACTGACAGTGGCAGTGGCAGTGACAGTGTTTGCATTGCTTCACTTTGTGATATTCTGCCCTAAAATAATCCAAAAGGAGGCTGAGGGAGGAGAAGAATGTTGGTCAAGTCCAAGGAACTGTGTGTACAGGAGCCCTGACTTTCTCCAGTTGTGTGCTATACCCCTGCCAGCACTTTGCACCCACCAGCAAGATCTGTGCTCCCTCTCGTGGCAGATTCTCACCAGTAACTCCATTGTAACTCATCCCTGTTAGTGCCAAAATGTTCTTATGCTTAGTTGTGAGAAGCATCTGGTTTCCAAACTTAATGCTGCTATGTACCAAATTTAATAGACTAATGAACACAAATAGCACTGAATTATCTTTTTTATTGACATAAGGGGAGAAAAATCTTTCACCATCTGATTGACCGAAGTTTGCCAAATAAAAATAGACAAAACAAATGTTTATGTACGTGCAAACATTGCAGATCAAACTGCTAAAAGAAATAACTAAAAGACAGGTCTTGAGCTAAGATCAAGCAGCAGAAAAATAGGAAATAGGTAAATGACTATTAAGTAGGTCTTACTTTGAAACTTCCCATTTAAACAAAGAATAAACAACAATAACACCACCAAATAAAGCCACAGCAGGTAATAGTTGCTCTTCTAAACTTTTATACACTATATATTAATCACTCTGTCTTTCAGTTATTTCCTCTGATAAAACTGACTTTTGTGAAGTCTCAGCAAGGCCATCTTGGCTAAAAGCAGAACGTTAGACAGGAGCCTATCTAAGGCCCTGTTACAATGAAGAAATGGTGGGGGTTGGCTTATCTTTTCCTTCTTTTTCTTTGCTGAATATATCTGGAAACAAGAATCTGATTCTATGCAAATATTAGATTTACTTTTCCAATGCTGGCTGGTGTTTGAAGATCCTGGAACAAAAAGGTGGCTCTTGGTAAAGCAAGATTCTTCTTGGTCCGCAGGTAACATAGAAGAAAGTTTTTGGGTTTTTTGTACAAATCATGTTATATTAAATTGCTTTTTAGTTTTTTATAAACAGTCCTTCTAGGTTTTTTTGTGTGTTTTTAAGAGATGAGCCATCATGGTGCTTCTCTGTAGGTATCTAACATTTCCATTTTGTCTTTAAAGGTCCATTTTGGCTTCAGTTCCAGGTTATGTCATTCTATTGTACATCATCAGAGGCAGGTGTTCAGCTTTAAATATTGACAGATTTTTCTCAGTAGGAACATGTTGAAGCTTCTAACTCTGCTAAACATATTGACTGTTACAATTCCAAAACTGTAAAAATGGTGGAATGGAAAGATACAAACAGTATTTATTAACACTGTATTGTCAAATGTTTGCACTGAGACCCCATGTACCATAGATTTCATTTTTTAAAAAATCATATTTATATCCATTTACATAAGACTTACACTTTTAAAAGAAATACATACACAGTAAATACGTAAATGTCTAGTATTTTACAATAAAACAGATGTAACAATGTAAAGATAAGTGGCTTCATTTGATAAAAGCTTTGGATGTGCACTACTGTCAAATATTTGATGACAGAGATGCTGAGAGAAAAGGGGGAGATTGTTTTGTTTTTTTATTAGTAATTTAGGTATTTTTTATTCATGTTTTAAACTAAACAATACATGAAAGGAACATCATATCTGTTTTTATGATAAACATTATATGTGTTCTCTTCCCTATTAACCTGTTCTTGCAGAGAGTCTTCATGCTCTTTCCTAAGTAGTGGTAGTGCACTTCAGGTAAAATAGAAGAAAGAGATGACATCTAAGAAAAAAAAAAAACAAACCATTAATTAGCAAGATTCTATGATTCTAATTCAATCTAAAATGAAACAGACAACAGAAAATAGGTAAGTAAGTAAGTAGTTTAGAAACTAAGTTACTAAAACATGGATTTTTAGTATTGAGTATTTAGTGGGAGGCATGCAGTTGTTTAATTTTAGATCTGCAACATAAAATTGCTAATAATTAATTTTAATCTTTTACTAATTTTCCTTAGTCAACACAGACTACTGCTTATGTTCATTTTACAGTCGTTTTCCTGCTGTTTTGGTGCAACACTGGGCTTTGTTTCCTGCACCTGCAGACCTTTGTTTGGCACAAGGTAGAACACATTTTCAGTGTACAGACATTGCTGATATGCTTTGTGGTTCTTCTAGTTCACTGCAGCTTGACAGCATTTACCTTTCTCACCCTGATGGTTTCTTTGCTATGGACTAACTGCTTCCAACTATCATTCACATCTTTTTTGGAACACTGCTTCTCCATTTCTCTTTACAAATCCTTTTTTGAACCCTTCATTGGTAAAGTACATAGCTGATTTTGCCAAATCTCCTTTAGTATTTTATTGGAATAAAAGTTAAAGTAATATGTTCTATTGCTCCAGCCTGTGGCAAGAAATCTGTCCTGAATGACCCTTCTGACTTGGCAATGACAAGTGTTTTAGAAGTTAAAAGTGTTGGGAAAGCTTGGATAATGTGAGTGCCAAATCCACTGCCTGGGTAAGGGCATTGCAGCTGCTCAGCTGGGCCACAACATCTAGCAACCACAGAAGAAAGCTTGATGGGTCCTGTGTGCTCTGTAGTACATTTCTTTGCAACATTAAATGGCCTTAATTGTTCTTAAATTTCTGCAGCCTTAATTGTTCTTAAATTTCTGATACCAAGTGCGCTAAAACAAGCCTTTGTAGAGTACGCTCATATAACTGTTCTGAGAATGTCTGCACATAGTTTCCAGCAGCTCACTGTGGTTTCAACAAATATTAAAAAA